ATAAAAAGTATTATTAACTTATTGGCAGAATTAGAATAATAGTTGGAAAGATATCTCAAGAGAAAATAGCCTTAGAAGACTGTTACCGAACAACAGAATAAAGAGAAAATTCGGAGAAGAAACAGCGTACACAAGTACCGCCCCCAGAGAAGCTAGGTGTTATTCACATGAGTTAATTGATTATAAATTCAATGCGGAAGAAGAAAAGTAAAAGTTGTTGTGAATTCCAGAGAATCCCAGGGTAACGTTGCCTAGCTGTGGAAGGATAGCTCTTACATAGAGCCCCAAAACGAACGCACAAGCACCACGCGTAACAATCCCAAGTGTTTAATTTTATAAGGTACAAAAATGGAACGTAGCCAGGTAGCGATAAATAAGGTAGTTGCTGAATACTTGGTGTGATAGCGATAGCAAATGTGGTAGAATTATGTGTGTACATGTGTGTGGTTCGAACTAGAAGGTAAAAGAAAACGAAACGAAGCTAATTAATCGACTTACAAACGATGACACAGCACAATGACCTATTCTTGAAATCAACTGAACTAATAATGAAGGAAACGAAAAACTAAATCGAGCATAAACAATATAGGTAACTCACTTTGGTAGAGCTCCTGGCGTACTTGAAAAGCGCGGGTAGCGGAGTAGACAAAACAATCTTACACTCAGTAGCGGGGCGCACGACCTCTTGACAGCGATCAAAAAATGGTTCTCTCTTTGTCGCAAGCCCGAAATATGAGCGAATGACTGACATAAATTGCGTAACAATTTCACACCAATTACATTAATCGACTAAAATAAACCGTGACGTAGATAAACATTAACTAAGCATAGACAATAGGCGGTTAAGCAATAATCTAAAGTACAAAGAAAATAAATAGCGTTTCAAAACTAACAGTTGTTTGCCCTTGAGGTCACCTTAAAGAAAGAGGTGACCTTATTTTCTTGGCTTACAGTAATATAATATTTCCATTCCTTTTTTAACACTTAAATAAGTTTAAAAGCACACTTAATGAAAATTCTTGCTAGATTCCAATTTTGTCTTTTAACAGTATAGAAAAAAAAATGTGAAGGTTTACGAGTATGAGAAGCTGTAGATCCCCCTTTTTTTGAGACTGCTTTTGATGCTACGATATTTATTATACCTCTCGGTTCAAATAGCGGGGAAAGATTCAATGCAGACAAACTTTTGAGTATAGTGGGTAAGTAGATTGAAACCAAAAAGTAGTTAATGTAACGAATTATAACCGAAAGTTCTAAATGGACTGAAGTAAAGGAATTGGGGATGGTATTTGAACTTCATGGACTGAAGTAAAGGAATTGGGGATGGTATTTGAGCTTACACTGGTTTACTCTCCCCACGCTGTTAAATATTTCTGAGGGGGTGAAGGTTCTAGCGTACCTCAATCCAGCCCCTTCGCTTTAGCTAACTCTGTTACCCACATGTTTGTGTAGCGGAGAGTGTGAAGGTTACAGTTTTACTAAAAATTGATTCGTAAGGGCCCAGCTGCATCAGTAAAATTTATTCTCTTTTTCTTTTTTGGCTAAGTTTAATACAGGTTTGTTTATTTAGTCGATTTTGTCGAGCTTTCACCCGTGAAAAGTTTGTCGGTGGCGTGCTTGGAGGTTTGCCCGCAGAAATTTACATAACAGCCGGAATGAGTGGATAGGATTCTTGTGGCATAGCATACCCCAATTCCATCACTTCAGTCCATTTATAACTTTCGGTTCTAATTCGTTATATTAACTACTTTTTAGTTTCAATCTACTTACCCGCGAAACAAGTTATGAAACAAATGACGGAACTAGTTAGCATACTCGCGTCACGCAATATACTTAGGCGGGTTAGCCTAGTTGTTTTTGATTTGGTGGCAGGGAAAGATTGAATATGTTCCTTAAGAACGTTGTGGACTGTAACAACATAAAATCTCTAATTATGGCAGCAAATGTTCAGAAAGGAGGGCGTGTTGATTGCATTCCGTGTTCTAAACCTCGGTAGAAACTGCAAGAATTCTTGCAGAAGGTTGCGAGTTTCGCAAATAACACCGCAACGTACATGTATTTTAACTTGTTTGTGTGTCCTTTTAAGCTACACAGTTTTACTGCAATGACCAGAATGCCAAATTGGATTCTTTAATTTTGATCTTCTCCACTCTGTACGTGGCTCTTGACCTGATTCAAGGAAAATTATCGAGGAAGCGCATTCCGATCGCTTTTGTTTACTTTGTAATTGTGCAAATGTTACGACTGATCATATATATGCAACGTTTTAAGACAACTCGTAATTTATTTTCCATGCAATTGTTATAAAAACCTAAAATACTTTACATAGAAGATAAACAAACAAAGTTTGAACGGTCAAAGGCATATCTTGGTCATATTTCAGAATTAAGCAAATGAGCTTTCAGTTGACACGTGATTTACGTTGATTTCAAGATAATGTGGATGAAAGCTAGAGAGATACCCGCAGGTTTGAGGCCATAGGTGACCTCATCTTAGCTCGAATTAATTTACGCCTCCTATCGAGAATTCTTTCTGTTAAATTGGTTAATTTTTTATATGCTAAGGTCGAAGGGAAGGGTCTCTTCTGGTCACGCTCGTATGAAAGGATTTCAAGTGAAAATTTCATATTTTGTCTGTAAACTGACTGAATACAGCTTGTAACATGAAGCAAGAGAATTCCGTGAGCTACCCTACTGCAGTCGCAGCGCGCTCGACAAAAGCTGTGAAATTTTCACTTTCGATCGTTGTCTACGCGGGTGGACCAGCCAAAAGTCAATTTTCGCTCTTGGCGAGGCAAAAAAGGAGAATTGGAAAACAACCAAACTAGCTTCTGAAACATGTGTCCTAAACCCTTTTCACAGGAAACAAATTAAGGAAAATTCATCTTATACGGGAAGTCGAGAGGACCGCTCTTAGGGAGAGTGGCATTTAATTGTTATGACACAGATATTTCGATGAAACACCACAACTTCCTCTGTATTGAAAGCATAATCAACTTCCTCTGTATTGAAAGCATAATATCTTGACTGTGTATCGTGTTGATAATGCCTTTCAATTAATCACTTCGTCTACACCTAAGAGAAAGTTTTAACACTCGAAGGTAAAATTTGTATGCAAGTGCGGCATACAAACAGGTAGCATCCCTGTTTTGATAATTTTCAACCACGTGACAAAAAAGCCACGACGCACGCCACTAAATCTTCCGGTGGATAAACAAAGCAAAAAAAAAAAAAAAAAAAAAAAAAAAAATAAATTGGCGTCTGCGCCTGTGAATTCTTGCAATTCTATATCACTTTCCGAGTATTACTCAACTTTGAACGGTCCTACGAAGGTAAGTTATTATGAAAAGGTACATATTTGGGGTTCGATCCCTACTTGTTAAAAAAAGCGGATTGCAAGTATTACAAGTATTAGCCAAGTATTACATATCCCGATATTGTCAACTACCTAGTCATCCAAACCTCGTGGAAAACCGGGCAAGAAATGAAGGCTTGGAAATCAATGGATGCTCATGATTTCTTCATATCGGAATGGGTAAATAGTATACGGACCAAGTATCTTCCCTGACACTGTCTTCGTTAAATTGACATGAAAACAGTAGTTGACTCTTCATTTTACTAAGCTGTCGTTGTAAGTCATGCATATACTTATTCAGCATGTCCAATAATTCACCAGTTGTATCTGTCTGGCATTGCTGATCGACAACATGAGGTTCTGACGTGTCCACTAGTAAGCAATAAAAATGAATTTATTATAATGTCTTATTTATTTTCTTGCTATTGAGTCCGCACACTATTTCCATGAGGAGTTTAACGAGAAATACTCAAGTACAGAGTAAGGTATTATACTTTTACTTAATTTGCCTTTTCTTTCGGTTAAATAATGATATAAACGGTTGGTAATTTTGATTTTACTTCATGAACATAGTGTAAGTACTCTATAATTCAAACACTCAAAAATAATTCAGAGACAAAAAAATCAGAAATATTGAATTAAGAATATAACTTAATAGTAAATAAATAAGAGGAAAAACATTGTAAATTCAGCTGAATAGAAAATCCCAACTTACTAGATATTTTAGAGGCGTTATTTTGCTCTGATTAAACCTTTTCAGCCTCAAGTCTTTCAGCCTCTAGTCGTTCGGCTTCAGGTCTTCCCGCTTAATTTCTAGCAGCCAAAGCCTCTGCTTCTTCTTGTTCTTCTTAGATTTTCCTCTTCTTTGTCTCGCGATGTTCTGCCCGATCATTACGTATTGCTTTTTCAATGTCCTTTTCAGTAATATTGTTATGTCCTAGCTTTAACGATGGTGCCCAAACTGGGTCTGTTGCAGATTTAAAACAAGCTGGTTCCCCTACAGCAAGGAATGTAATTTGATATGTTTAGAACAAACGGCGCGAACACACGTGGAGGCCGTGGAATAAGGCGAACATTCTGCGGCCGTAATTTTTAATAAAATATAATCATAATTGACCAAAACATAATTCTAACCTAATGTTCTTTGTATTACTAACCTTTTCTAAAGTGATCGCTACAAACGCAAGTATTTTCAATGGCTTTTTCGTCCAGATCCTGAAAATACGAACGAACCAGAGGCGTCTTCACTCTATGCAAAGTTTGTGTATGGCCTCTACTTGGGATATCTCGATGCCTGGAAGTCGAAAAAATGGATACACCCCTTTGTCCCTTACACTATTATGACCACAGTTCTTAACCGCACAAAGATAATCCATTAAAAAAGTGTTTAGAAGAACAAAGAATATTGGTGACCTCTGACTCAGCGCTTTGTTTCGTCCACCTGAAGATAGTAGGGACTTCAAGATACCTGGACGGCTGTTTCAGAGGACTACTGACCGGAAGTAATTTTACACGTGTAGACTGTATTGCGCATGTCTGCACAACACGTGTTGCCGTCCAGTTGTTGTCGAGGACTTCAGAATTGGAGATTTGCCGTCCACAAGTGAACGTAAGCACATTTGACGAGCATTTCTTTTAAAATTCATTATTTTTCAATTGAAAAGGCTGTCCTTACTGTTATTTCTTGTTCTGATAAACAAAAGTTAAAAAATTGAAGTGTAAAATACCATCGCGAATGAGTGTTTGTTTGCTGTGCTTCGCAGTGATGGCGAATATGTCAACTAAACTTGAATGAAATTGAATTTTCTGGCATCTGTTTCCAGAATTATTTTGGTCACTCCATGTATCACGTAAATTACTGCTATTCATCATAAATGTTCAGCCATGAGTTAAATTCTTCGCACTCGTAGTATGGCAGCTCTAAATTAACTGGCTTATTAGCTTCGTACAGAAACAGGAACTCTTCGTCGGTCAGTAGCTTTTCTGCGTAAGCAATAACAATCATTTCGCGAGTCTTTTTAAAATATGCCATGATTTACGAAAAGAGCTAGAAACTTCAGGTTCACTGCCGTCCTCCGTTCAAACAACCCGCTCCTTAACCTAGAAAGTTTCTCGCCAAGAACGTCGGTTTCGGCCCAGTCCTCTGCGCCTAATATTACCGTCCTCGAGGTCAGCGGTCCAGATATCTTAAAGTCCCTAGTATGGACCTTAAGCGAGGTCGACGAAAAGGACGACGACGACGAGCCGGAAGTAATTTTACATTATCAAGGGATAGTGCGCATGTCACGATGCCACTCCACTGTCCACCGCTCGTTGTCCACTGGAAGTTGAGAACGTAAAATCGTGCATTTTTACGTCGACTAGTGAACGTGAGTATTCATTGGGCTATTTTTTTCTCCGTTTGAAAGTTTTTGTCCCCAGAAAACCGAAATAATTTAGGAATATGCCATCTAAATTAGCAAGAAATATTTTTTCATCATAGTTTTGGCCGTAACGTTTTGTAAATCGCTTTATTTTTCTTTCTTTTTGTAGGCACTTCTTTAATTGAACCACGTAGGTTCAATTTCAAGAGTTGTAAAAAATTTGTTTAGGCGATTATTCTGGCCGGATCTGTGGTAGCACGTAAAGCTATCTGGAATTTGGAGGACCTCTGCGAGTAATGAAAGGTTATGTATTCTGAATCTAAATTGTGCCACACCCTCTGAATCGTTCATGTCTTCGAGTGAAAACCTGCCACAATTCTCGTAAGGAAAATCTGGATTTTTTGGATAGTATTCTTCGTATAACAGCAACAGTTCTTCATCATTTAAATATCCATGGAAGTGGCTAAGGAGAAAAAAGCTCCTGAAGTTCGTGAAAAGAAACCGTAATGGTAAAACTGGAGATTTCAAAAAATTTTTTTCATTTGTTTACGGTCACGTTCACGTCGAGAGCAGCTTAAGTTCGCTTTTTCCCGCCCTTTTTTTACCAGTGAACAACAGTCTCGACCCAGACTTCGCGCAGACATATTCGTCGTCGTCGTCGTCGTCGTCGTCGTCGTCGTCCTTTTCGTCGACTTTGCTTAAGGTCCCTAGTCTGTTTGTCCACCAGAACTTTTGAATACCGGTGTTCGCAATTGGTATGACGCCACCTGAAAACGAAGAATTTGATGTTCGACGTGTTTCTTGTGATGTATAGCCTTCGAACTTCCTTTCACAGGTTTGACCTTCGTATAAAGCGGGCGATTTTGAGAGAAACTGAAGATGGAATACTTTCCTCCCTGTAAATGATAGCATTAAAGCTCGAATTTAGGGTTCAACTTTGACCTAAATGTCACCATGGGGGCGCTCATAATCTTTTGTAAATAACACGACATGCGTTTTGTAGATAGATGATATTCTTTTCCATCTTCTCATACTTTTACTCAGAAAGTTGCCTTGAGCAAAAAAAATGTCCCTAAAGCAGGATGAATTATTAAATGTACAACAACTGTGTTTTTTTCCCAATTGACGTAACTGCAACATAAACACTGAAAGTCATAAACAAATTAGTTACTACGTGACTTGTACGTCACGCTGGTTAACGGATGTTGGACGAAGTCACATACAGGAAGACCGAGGCAGTCACTATGATGTCATTCTACTCTCGGCGCCCATCCGCTTCGGAACTTTTAACTGGACTGGCTCTTAGCTCATTGACTCAGGCTTTGAATTAGTTGAGCGAAGATATTCTTATTGTCGGCGTGTACCTATTCATTGGCAGGCCGTATATGCTGTTGTGTTATCGCATAAGCTTCGAAATCCAAACTCATTGTCGGACGAAATGGCTCAAAAAGTTATGCTTCATAGGGTGGCATATACCGATTAACAGAAGATCACGTAGGAATTTTTCACCAACCCGTTTTATTTTCAACCAAGAATGACATGTAATTTAAAGTAAGGACCAATGAAACAGTTCCAGGTTCGACGCCAACGGCATGTTTCGTTTGCTGACGGGTTAGGAAAATGTCAAGCATAGGTTTGCTTTTTAGATGAAAACGAAACGCAGAGAAAAACTTTGACTTTGATCATAAGTCATCGATGGTATATCTTCTCAATATAGGTTGATTTTAAGATGAAAACGAACCATAAATTTACCCTAAATGTGGATTACAGGCTAATCAACATCCAACGTAACAAACACTGGCCCGTTGTTTCGGTATGTGTTCCGGTTGCGTCATACACCATCTATTTTTATGACATAAACACCAGAACACCTGAAACATTAGAACTTCCCTTGTCGTATTGAGAGCACATTATCTTTACCGCATATCGTGTTGATTACATCCCACACTAATCCTCTTTGCCTATACTTGAGATGATATTAACACTCGAAGTTAAAATTTGTATCAAAGCGCGGCCGTGCAAATGCCTCTTTTTGACCTTTGACTGATTTCGTGCGATATTTGTAATTATAGGCCTCGAACTTCCTCTCCCTGTGAGACAAACAAGAGATCGAATACTTTCCTCCGGCAAAACGATAACTTCAAAGTTCTACTTGAGTGTTAAATTTTTTACCTATGTGCCATTAAAGGAGCTCTCCAGTCATGACTCCTGTGCACGTTGTGAGATTGCACATGTTCCATAGTTAAAACCTGAAGAAATTCTCGAAACTGCAAAAAAAATAAGATTGACCTCTTGATATCCGCCTGGTGTATGAGGCACGTTCTGCTCACGGGCGATGACGACCTAATTCTATAAAAGGTGAAGGGATATGGGCACAAACACAACAGTGTGTAGTAACATCTTCAATGAGGAGCTCAGGATGTTGCTTTGGAAAGCTTTAAGTTTGATAACTCTGCTAAACAGTTTTTTATCGGCAGGTAAGGTTTTATTAAGCAGCGTCAGTTTGTTGTCGATTTTTAATCGAATACCTTTCCAATGGAATAGTAATATTCTTGCAACTAATTCTTCAGTTGACAACCTTTACACAAAAAATTCGTTACCTTATCTCGGGATTCAGAAAAAAATGACGAAGCGTGTAATATCAAAAGCCTTTTCGAGCACTTCTGTAACTTTCGTAATGTAAAAGGGTTTCAAGTCATACTCTTACGCGCTTTTGACAAGCGAGCAACTTCTCTTTGTAACTTCACCGACATTCAGAATTCAAAACCCTCCGCGCTGCTCTCATTCGAGCATTTCGCTTTTTTTTTAATCACAAAGCCCAACAAGAAACACTCTGCGGCATCATCAACATTAGAAATTCGCGACTTTCGCGTCATTATCGACCGAGCTAAAACAGTTTTCAGATTATAGGCCTATATAGATTGTATATGTGCACGATCCTTCGCAGTAAAGTACTATTTAAGCAATAGTGAAAATCAGACCTGAAAAAAATTCAGGCCTGTACGAGATTCGAACCACCGTCTGACCTCTGCGATACTAGTGCAGGTCTGATTTTCACTATTGCTTAAATAGTGCTTTACTGCGAAGGATCGTGCACATATACGTTTCATAACCGCAGTTCATATATATGTATTTCATATATATTTGTTGTTTATATAGATTGTGCTAGGAAAAATATATTTTGCCACTAACATTGCTCCATTTTTCTCCGAATTATGCTTATTTTTACATAAGCTCGGATTCCTTTGTTCTTTTCGGGGAGAATATATTACATACTCCCCAAATCAACTGTCTAAAAAGCTGGGTGCGGCTTTGATTGTTTGAAGGGAAGAGCGGGGCTAATGAACAGCTAATTGAAATGCGGGAGAATTATGTATTAATATGTAATTTAAATGCGAGGGGATTAATCTATAATCCCCTCGCATTTAAATTACCTGTTCATGAAGAACAAATTTACAGTAAATACAGTGAATTTGGAGGGTATTCGTTCTTATCCCTCTTCCTTATGTCATATACAAACTTGCTCAGCCAAAACGACAGTTCGAAATTGCACAGTGTCTTTAAAATTCCACTGTTTTGAGCTACCACGAAAGTGTCGCTGTCATTTATTGGCAACGAGTTTCGCTCTGTAACCCAGTCACCCAAACTCGTGTACTCCATGAAGTTGCCCTTTTAGTGTTTTGTGGTATTCTTCCTTCATTCCTCGCCTGAATTTCCTTGTCTTTTACACTAGTGATCCTTAGGCCGGAATCTTCTTTATCTGTAAAAAGTCGGTCAAAAGATCCTCGGTGCGCAAATTAAAATTGTCAACTACTTTCTCGTTGTCTGCACCCACAAATAAAGACTAAGTTGTTTTTCGAAACCCCAATTGAGGTGCTGCCACTAAAACTGCTTAGAGTAACAAACAGTTCTGACCATGAATCGCTCAACATTGCTAGCCTCTTCCTAGCATTCACTTACGAACAAGACGAACAACTAATTCGAAATGCGACTTTAAAAAACTAACATAATTAAAAAGCCGAGAAACTTGTGAATCCCACTAATGCCAGCATGGAGTGTTGGAAAACAAAACAAACATGAAAAATAGAGCCATTTATCTTCAGTGTATTTTTGCATCCCTTGAAGAATCCTCGCACATGTGAAAATAAGCCATTTATCGGCCTGAAGCGAGGGGTTATGTGATTTATTCCCCTCGTGCGTTGATTTATTCCCCTCGGGAAACGCACGAGGGGAATAAATCAAATAACCCCTGGCTTCAGGCCGATAACCCTTACTTGAAACAATGCTCGTTATTAAAAAATCATGCGACTTTTTCATAGTAGTACCAAGGTGGTAATGTTACTTTGTGAATCAGGGAGCTAAATAAAGCAGAAGTATTGTTAGCTCAGTACATTTTAAGTTGCAGATGGCATTAAGTTAGTAAAGAAAGAAAAGAAAAAGCAAAAATAAATAAAATAAAATGATTAGTGAGGAAAAGCAACTTAGCAAAAAGACACTACAAATTATTCATAATTGTAATGAGAAATACTTGTTGGGAAAGTAAAACTATTGCTCAGAAATAAAATTACAGCTTCTCAGAAAAAAAAAATTACAAACTAAGGTGGAAAGTAAAAACTTCTTTATTATCCTGATCATGGACATTTTGTACTTAAAGCATACCTCGGTTTATTCTTCCTCCAGTTGAGCCAGTCTTTGTACTTTTGGGGGCTTCAGTCCCATGCATGTTACAGTCGTAGGTTTTTTGGCCAACTATGATACATACAGTAACTAGTGGGGATAGGGTGGCCGTGCTACACGGGCATGTTTTGTCTTCTTTTCGGCGAATCTGACCGAAATGCCGTTGACAGGCCGATTTATACGGTTCAAGCCACTGCTTTACAAACCTGATAGTGCAGCGTCCTCGGATCACCGCTTCAACCATTCAAAGATCGTCTCATTTTTAGCCTTTGTGCATAAGCTCTTTTATAAACAAAACTTAGTTGCCACGGAGCCGCCAGCGAAAAAAACAATTTCATATCGTGTGCAACTTCAGTTCGGCTTTGGCAAATTATGTAATTGAGCTTAAGAACTATTCAAAAGGTGAGCCGAGTTTCAAAGCTAAGTTTACAGTATTCTTTCTAAGTTTTGACTTTTTACGCTGTCGATTTGACTCACGGCGAAAAACATCGTAAAAGTTATCGGCATTTCATGGTTTCGTTGAGGTGTCCGCTGACCATTAAAATACTGTATCGTGCCCTTGAAAAACGTATTTCCGCGGTGTCGTTTTATATAAATAAGATCAAACCTGAAGTTAACAAACAATTACTTTTCTAGCATTTTAGTTCACACCTTTAATTTCATGTTTGTTGTCACGCTGTAATTAGTACCTGCTTTTGTATTACATCATACTGTAAATATTTTATTCATCTACTTGTCTGTTATATAATTACTCACGTTCAGTTACTCATTGATTGAAAATGGCATAAGCATGCCGAAACATGTCTCTAAAAATAGTTGTATATTTCTTACAATATTTATCCTACTTGCTACTACTACGACCTTATGGAAATACATATTTATTGTTAATAAAGCTTGATCTTGATTTTGAGTTTTATACTTGCACTGATAAAACATAATTAACTACTGCACTTAATTCCATACTAAAAGCAGTGTCAAAATGTTCGATGTTAGTTTTATTCTACTCCATTCTGTTTCCCGTGGAAGTGATGAATGGGACTGACGCAATCTTTACTTCCGGTGTGCCCAGTCCCTTAAATGACGTACGAATCAGTATCATCGCCTGTAGCTTTATTCCCCCCAAGACATTGCAACTGAAAACAGGCTGAACAATGGAACGAACTTAATTGAACTGACTGTTCGGTTTGGTTGCAGCATCTGCTCCAGCTCCTGCTATAGATGTATACATTAAAAGCGAAGGGTATTATGATCGAGGAAAGACACCAAACACACGTGGAATTGCTTACGTCAAGGTGAACGGCGAGGATTACTCTCGTCACGGCAGAGGGCATAACGTTGTTGTTGTGGACGGTGCAACAGGTGTGTGTGTGTTATTACGGTATTTCTTACATTTCTTTATGATTAGGGAAATCTCGACAATGGGAACACGGAAAAAGCTCCTTGGCTCAGGCGAGATCTAAGTGGCGTCTGGGAGCTTTTCAAGCTAGCTATTATTCTCAGCAGAGTTATGAGCCAAAGAGCAAATATCGCCAAATAATTCCCGAGAAAAAGTCGAGGACCTTTTTTCGACCACAAAAACAGGCATAAGTTCATGTTGTCATGGACCGAGTCAGATTTTTGTCCAGGACTTTTGCACTTCCTTGATTCGGTACAAAAGAGGATTTACATTTCTTTTATCTTGTATAATTTCCGGTTCTCATACTAGCTATGTTTTTTTTTCTCTCAGGTGTCGTTCTTTCTTCAAAAGTTTTCGACACGAATGGGAAAAGTAATGCCGGTAATGACCTGAGAGATTACCTCAACAGCATTAAAGGAAAGTAAGTAATTTCATTTCAGGTTTATGGTGTAGTTCTATCATTTTAGCCTTAGAAAATCACACCTTTACAGTGATGCCTAACTCTTTTAGCCCAGGTATCATATAGAGTTTTAGAAATCATGTTTCTCGAACAGAGGACTCACCGGTGTAATGATCACTTCCGGCCATGTAATCTAGGACTCCTTTCGGTCGCAAGACGAGTCGGGTGTGCGGTTACCCAGCTTTTCCTAAACTTTCGTTGACTCATCTAATTTTGCAGTGCAGTTATTTTCAAGTAAATTATAAAATGTCAAACACATCATTCGTCTAGCCTTTATTGTCTTGACAACAGCTGGACTGGAGAATTACCTGTACCAACTACATTAAAGAAATCACTGAGTAACCGAAAGAACTGAAAGAAGACCTAGATTACTTCGCCGGAAGTGATCTTTACAACCAGCATTTTGACATTGTTTTCCCCACTGGCACTTAACTCTCCCAGTCTAATACCGTTTACACCAGCAAAACATGTTTAGAAAAACCAGATTTAACTGAATGAAAATCATAGAGAAAATGAAAAAGCTGAATGTTACCTGATGTTTAAGTTATCACAAACTTGTAAACCTTGTACGAAATTTGAATTTTACCAACATCAATGAAAACAACTTCTATGAAGAACACAATTCTGAGCTGAGTTAAACAAAACAACTTTAAAATGCATTTTTGCTTTAGTGTGAATGGGACATAAATCTTATTGTCACCACTGACCAAGGTGTCCTTGAAAATCTTCGTTAATAAGAGAGTGCGTGGAAAAGTATGACCTGGTTCACCGGTTCATGTCGCTTCATTTTGCGTCTGAAACTCCAGGTTTCGTTATGTAAACTCGTTACTAAAACGCTTTTCACGATCTTGGCTCGTGTTAGAAGTCGAACATCAAGAGCTGACCTTTAATTCTTTCCCATGGATTGAATAATTTTTTATTTTTCCTTACTTTAGCAAAATTGTTTTGGTCGCCGTTCAAGAAGGGGGCTGGCGATTTTCCTCATCAGCGGTTCGCGCTCTCAAGAGGCTGGGGGCTAGTGGTTCTGTTCGAGGAAGCTATCGGTCTTCTTTTGCTTTTGCTGGCTACGCAGGCACAAGACAATCGACGTGGGTGACACAAAAAGAAAACGCAAGATATCTTGGGCCCAGTGAAATAACTCTGAAAATTCCTCTTTCATCAAGTATGTCAACTCAGTATAGTCTAATGCCCAACAAGTGAATCTTTAAGATCGCTTAGTGCCTCTTTTGTTCTACAAGCTACCGATGTACATAAATCAGAGAATCAAATATCGTATTTGGTTTTCTACCTTGATCGACTAGTGTTCAGGAAATGATGTGCTTGTCAGTTAAGTTAGTCCTCTTACTCACACTAGGCGAGCATTGATTAAGAGAGGCGCAAAAAAGTGAGAGAGAACGAGTTTCAGAGGCTGCGAGGATGGAAAAAACATGCACAAGCAATTGCAGACCTGTGAAATTGTTTCTGTGCCCTGAGTTTTTTCCCTGAGTTCAACGAAAACAACTCTAATCATAGGAAAAATAACCTTGTCTAACTTGCAGGAGACTATAAATGCCAAAACCAAACTCTACCGGGAGACAAAGGCGTCATTTACTCACCTAACTATCCAGAAAGGTACCCAGATGGGCAATATTGCATGTGGAAGATCATGTTAAATGCATCCTATCAAGTGGCCTTAATGTTTACGCACTTCAGTCTGCAATCTGAAAACAACACAGACGCTGTTTATGTTTACGATGGCACCAACCAAACAGGCAAAGAGTTAGGAGTGTTCTATGGCGGTCAGCTTCCCCCCAGGAATGGAATTTATTCTTCCTCAAACAGCCTTCTTGTAATATTCAGATCAGATAAGAATGGTTCCTTCTATGGGTTCCAAGCTTCTTATAACGCTGTTAAATGTTCTGGTAAGAGTCTGTCCATTGACACTTTACAAAATAAGTATGTACAAGTTTGAGATGTATCCAAAGAAAATCCTCGAGCAATAAACTGATTCAAAACACTCCGAAATCTTACAGAAATTTTAGCATTCTGCCTTATGTTATCGTATTTAAACCTGTCATGTAATGTTACAAGTGAAGGGGGAATCAAAGCTTCGTTGAATTCGTGAAAACAGGACGTGGCTCTCGGGCTTGAACTTTGCACAATGAAAGAGATTTGTTGATTTTAATTTAGTTTTCAAGACATGAATATGTCAAGAGGAAGCTTCTACATGAGTTATTAATCAGAGTGTGGCGCAAAAAATCAGCTGTTTGACCCCTTGTATTTGATAAATTCGCAGGAGCCCTTGGCATGGAGAGTGGCGCGATTTTAGATGCTCAAATAAGTGCGTCTTCGCGAATGAATGACAACAGCACACCAAGACAGGCGAGACTGAACTTTATTGAACAGGGCAGCAAGCAAGGGGGATGGTCGTCTCGTGTAAATGATCATAAGTCGTGGCTTCAAGTGGACCTTGGCGGTTATACCACAGTGACAGGTGTGGCGACTCAGGGGAGGAACTCTTCAATATTGCGGCAGTGGATAACAACTTACACGTTACATTTTAGTTATGACGAAGTAATCTTCCAGTTATACAAAGAACCTAATGAAATGTCAGCTAAGGTAAAATCTCTTTGGATGATAGTTTTGTCTCCTATTTATTCTGTCTAAAATCTTCTTTGAATAGACTTCTCAGCTTTCTTCGAGAATTCATGAAATAATTAACCCGAGACTTACCCTCATGTACCATCACTCAATCAACAAAAACTAAACATTAAAAAGTGTAACGAATAAGTGAACCTTTGGACCTACCGACACACTCATCTCGCTGCATCAGTATTTTTAAAGTTTGGACATGAGCTCCTTTTGTGTGAAGGTAAGGTTTCTTTCCAAGCTCAATTGGTTTTGTTTTTAACAATCAGGTATTCCAGGGAAATCAAGACGGTGATACAGTTGTGTATAACAAGTTGATCTCGCCAATCACTGCTCGTTACATCAGGCTATTGCCAGTCACGTGGCACAACCATATATCACTCAGAATGGAGCTCTATGGGTGTCGAGGTATTTCATAAAGTTATGGTCTCTCAGTGAGAACAATCTGCGGTTAAGTATTTCTAAAGAAACCACAGTTCGAAGACGCAGGTGTGCTTCTGGTGCTTGAGAAGGAAATTTATGATGTGACATAACCGAGAAAAGATGAAAAGAAACGGTTCCAAGAAAAAATTATATACAAAACTGATAAGGAAATCTCTTCGTGGCCGAAATGTTCGAATTCCTGCCAAACCTCCTTTTAAGGTTTTTCTGAGTTATTTTTCTTTTAAGCAGAGAAGAGAACCTTATTATCTTATTTTACTCTTACCTTAAATCTGTAATTTTTTTTTGAAAAAAGGGGCGGGTGTTTGAAGTAGTAGTCTAGAGTGCCAACTCTACATAATTGTCAGCGCTTAGTTGTCTCAAACTTATGCACGACTTATTATTTCTATAATTCTGCGATCTATTATTTTACAGACCCACAGCAACGCGGAAGCTACACGTTTCATAATAAATAATAAAATAATTCAGAATAAAGAAGCTAAAAATTGTTACTGGTGAAGTCAACCAGGCGTCTGACCTCCAACGGATCATAAGAAGGGACCAATCAAAATTCGTGTACAAATTAAGCTTATCATATGTATCATGATAGGTTACAGTGAAGAACTGTTGTTTTGAAAGTGTCCTTCACGCATTATTTTGTTTCCTTTCTGATCAAACCCTTTCAGGTTGTTCCTCACCACTTGGCATGGAAAGTCAGGTTATCTCCGATAGTCAAATCACTGCCTCCACCTCCGCCTCCCGATGGTATTACGGTTCTGCTAAATCTGCACGGTTGAACTTGGGCGGCTGGATTGCTTATGGAGCTACTCATAGACAATGGCTTCAGGTGGATCTTGGAACTTACTCAACTGTGACAAGTGTCGCAACTCAAGGAGTAAAATTGTACCGGTACAGGTGGTACTGGTACCAGCCCGAATTCTGGACAACTAGTTACAATTTACAATACAGTGATGATGGAATAGCCTTTCATTTTTACAAAGAACCTGGAAAAACTCTACCTAAGGTATACACAGAAAGTAATTTAAATACTCATGGACTGAGCATGATAATGTGATTGTTTCAGTCTAAGCTGGGTTTCATGAGAGAAGTAATTGACTAGTATGTTATCACTTTGGGTGTAATGCTACCTTGAAACCTTTTAATGTGTAAACCCTGAAGTAAAAAAGGCGACTTTAAGTCTGTCTAAAATTATATTATGTTTCATTTCACAGGTGTTTAATGGAAATCAAGACTACCAGTCAGTTGTGCGTAACAAGCTAAAACAATCAATCAGAGCTCGTTACATTCGATTCAAACCTTATAACCCAAACAGTTATAACCTCGGAATGCGAACCGAAATATATGGTTGTCTAGGTATGAACCAAATATTGTTTTATTCCGGATAATTCGTAGGAAATAGATATTTCTTATGAGGAGGGGCAGCTCTTAACACATTCGAAGCTCAACGAGAAGAAACCCTGTTACAAGGTTAATAACACATACCACAGTTCTCTAACTTAAGGCCAAAGCTATACTGTCACATCAGCTTTTAGACAAAAAATGTTTTTTTATTGTTCCTCTTGAAAATATTAATTGAAATGGCCTTTTTTCTCGCTAAAGGAAGGTTTATTCAATTTTAGTATCCTTTATCTATTACAGTAAATTATTTGTAATTTGTTCATGGGCAAACTGTAAGTATTTGTAACGAGGATCGTATGATGCGTTGTATTGAACTTGTATTCAGACCTTAACAGCTCGGGAAAATTTTCGAAACTTTATTTCTGCACTCCTTCTTTCTTATGAGCACGTGAAGTTAAACTGAAATAAACAAATTACACTAGTTACTTTTCAGGCACTGTGCCGTAATGTTCTTGAGCTAATTGTACTTACAATTCTGTATTCCTTTCCCTTTCTTGAACCTTGTGTTCCCGTTACGATTTTCGAAACGCATGTTCATTTTTATAGAGAAATGTCCCTAGGGTTATTACATAACTTAAAATAATTTCGTGCAAAACACGTGTGTTGTTTTATCTTACCCACTAGTAGGATATAGTTATTTCGGTCTTTGTAGTTCTGGGGGCTGGATTGCAATTACACAATAAGAAGCTTCTTGCCTAATTATAGATTGATACCAAAACTCACTCATTGCAGAATGCGCAGTCCCTCTTGGCATGGAAAGTAGGTCAATATTTGATGCGCAAATCACCGCTTCCTCGCAAATGGATGGAGACCACTCCGCAGTACAAGGCAGGTTGCATTTTCAGGCCGAAGGAAGCAAAGCCGGAGGGTGGTCGGCTCTTACAAATGATACCAACCAATGGCTTCAGGTGGATTTTGGTAGTTACACTCGAGTGACGCAAGTGGCGACTCAGGGGATGAACGGAGCTGATGAGTGGGTGACCAGATACAAGTTACAGTACAGTGATAATGGAGTGACTTACAAGTTCTACCAAAAAACTGGAGACACTTCGGTTACGGTATCGTTTTTCCTCATTTTATCAACTTCTAATGGAAATATTTATATCATAAAATAAAAAATATTCATCTGCAAATACTGTAACTTTAATGCTTACACCTCAGTTTGAATAGGAAATAACCACAGTTAGGAAACCACAAAAGCACGCTGCTGTCTAACCACGTTGTTGCGTTATTTCTTTAGTTATTCATACTTACCGGTACCTGTCATTTTAAGCGCAATTATGAAAGTAAAGCTAGCAAAACAAACAAACAAACAAACAAACAAAGAACAATCAAACAGTAGAGTAACATCACAATCAGATAAACAACGTCTTGCGTATCGGAAAACTTCCATGATATTCACACCCCAAATCAGGTCTTAATTAACTGTGACGTTTGTGACCATTTTAGGAATTAAGCGGAAATCGAGACCCTGACGAGATTGTGTATAATACACTTCGTCCGCCACTCAAAGCACGGTATTTCCGCATAATCCCAACAAAGTGGAACAAACATATCTCCATGAGGATAGAGCTCTTTGGATGTCCAGGTGATCGAAAATGATTCTTGGTTTTGAAAATATTTTCCTGATGGGTTAAGGGGTTGTATTCATTCTCCTTCTTATTTGCCATGGAATTGTTACAGTTGCGATTCTGACAATTTTGAATTCAGATCTAACAATATCCCCAATTTGATATTTTCCTTCTTCTTTGTTACAGTTGAAACGCTACCTGTACAACCGTAGATCTTTATCCTGCCCAAACCAGTGTAAATGGTTGATTGTCCTTTTTTTTCTGTAGATTGTATTTCACCAGTCGGTATGGAGAGTGGATTGATCTCAGATGGTCAAATCAGTGCATCATCTCAACTGGATGATAATCATGCGCCACAGCGTGCCAGACTAAATACCAAGATAAGTGGAATAAAACAGGGCGGTTGGCTTCCTCTTACAAATGACCGTGATCAATGGCTTCAGGTGGATCTTGGTAGTTACACTCGAGTAACACGAGTGGCGACTCAAGGGAGGGATGGCTATGATCAATGGGTGACTTCTTTTGAGTTACAATACAGTGTTAACGAAATCACTTTCACGTCCTACAAGGAAGTTGTTGGAGGCAACCCCAAGGTACGCAACGCCAACTAAATCAGTGAATCAGTGTAGAGCTGCCCTGAGAATTACTGGCATCTTTAAAAACTTCAGACATAGATTTGGATAAAATATCTCATAGCTTTATAAATGGTTGTACATGTTTGCACATATGATCAGGTTGAAAGCAGTCTTAGGAAAACAAAAAAGTTCCGGAAGCAGTGTTAATTTTGTGGATCGAATTGCAATTTGAATAAAGCAAAAGGAAGATTTGCAGTTGAAGAACTTCTCTGACAGTCGAGTATTTTCCGGGGCCTACAAGCCTCCATTAGAGTGTATCATTTAAATATATCACAAAAGGCATAACTCTTTTCTTTTATTATTAATCTTCCGCAAGCTTCATGCATCATTTTCCGTAATGGTTTCTGTGTTTTTCTCGCTTAGATGTTCACCGGAAACAGCGATAGTGAAACTGCTGTTTACAATATCCTCAAACCTCCAATCACAACACGATACATAAGGATCTTACCCATAGCGTGGAGTACAAGTATAGCGATGAGAATAGAAATCTACGGTTGTACAGGTAACGTTTCAACTGTAATAAATGATACCAATAGAACTAGAAATAAGGATTCCCTTTCACAGACCTTATAACCACGAAATAAACATTTGTTTTAATATAAAAGGATCAATAGCACAAAGCCAAGTATACAAGTGTAGCATTACCCGAGAAAATGGAATTATAGTCTGCGAATTCGCATCGGTAAATAAGTTACATCAAACACGCTCAATGTAACAACATTTACCAAATCTATTTCTTGGAAGTGCATGTCATTTTAAACACCGACATTGCTGACCCTAGTCGCTGCAGCATGGGGAACAAAAGGTCGATATAAACCCTACAGTAATCTCGTGCGTGGGAAATTAACGTCTCCTGCCCCTAACCCTGCAGGAAACCGGACCTACGGTTTTATTCGTCCTTATCCGAGAAGACTAGAATATCTATTGAAATTCTCCTCAGTTATTTTAAGACCAAGTGTATTGGTCCGGCCGGGGCTCGAACCCTCGACCTCCCGCACAACACAATCCGGCGCTCTAACCAATTGAGCTAACTAGGTGCGGTTAGCTCAATATTAGCCCACCTCACAACAGTGTCCTTTAGCTTGGTAGTGCAGTATCAGTGCGAAATTTTTGGGATTCTAGGACTCTATTCTTCCAAGAGGACCCAGAATTATTCTCTTTTTCTTGCTCCTGACGAGACAAATGACATCTTCTCAATTAATATACCCTTACTAATTTCAGTTTGTAACAGACCTCTTGGAATGGAAAGTGGAGCAATCAAGGATGCGCAAATAACCGCCTCTACACAGTGGGATGACAACCATGCCCCACAGAGGGCCAGGCTGAATATGAAGTTGACTGGAGTAAAGAGAGGAGCCTGGTTATCTCGTGTAAAGGATCTCAAACAGTGGCTTCAAGTGGATCTTGGCAGCTATACCACTGTGACTGGCGTCGCAACACAGGGGAGGAATGGACATTGGCCAGAGCAGTGGGTAACCAAGTACAGGTTGCAATACAGTAATGATGGAGTGAACTTCCATTACTACAAAGAAAAAGAAGACAACTCATTCAAGGTATTTTTAGTCTCACTACTTTTGCTGATTTTCAGTAACAGGAGTTGGTGATAGCAAGTACGAAAGTCAGCTACAGTTGTGATATTGTTGAATTTCTACCGATGGCAAAAAAATTCAGTTTATAGGAAGTTCTGCAGTTAATTTTCCTGAATTCGAAGCGACAAAAACCTCGTTGAAACCTCCAAAGAGGGAAAAAACAATGGAACTTGAAAAAAGAACGGAAGTAGCGTTGGGGGTTCAAAGAGATCTCGAGTAGTTCGCTCACGACTCAGAAAAGAATCAGCTGCTAACCCTTGAATTTGTGGTGAACTATGAAAGCAAGGTTGAATATTTGACGATCAAACCAATTTTAATATGTCAAAGGCGGGAAAAACAATCGGAAAAATGAATTCTCCATAGAAATGCAAATCAGATTCGTAACCAGGTAAGTTTTCGCTTTTGTCGAAATCGATCTTCTTAGATATCATCTTTTGTATGACTCCTTCTCAGTTCTTAAGAGCAACTCTCTGCAAATACCACGGATAGGTGTGCAAGATGGAAAAGTTGAAATCTCCCAAACTTTGTCACATTAAAGCCCTTATGAAACTACTTTAGAAAATACAAGATTCAGTTTCTTGTGATTAATATTTTCCGAAAAAAAATTATTTTTTGGAATGTTAACCTCCGAGAGGCCCTTAAAACACCGAAAGATGTGCTTCGCATCCTCGCGTCGTGAAAAGAAACGGAATCAAATACCATGACTATTGCGATATAAGATAATTTTATGACCCTTCTTTTGTATGAAAACGTTGTTGTAATTTCAAAAGATTCCAATCTGAATTTTTAATTTTTTTTCAAAATCACCCTCTAAAACAGTTTCATCGTGACCATCAATTTTGCCATTTTTCAACGGCAAAATACCCTTCCTGGTACATGGCTTTCGTTGTGCAAATGCTATTCCAGAGGAAGAGCAATCCTTTTTATTTCAATTTATGAAATAAAATTTTAGGGCAATTCAAACGGCAAGTTTTGAGAACTGAAAACATCAAAGGTACTTGCGTGAAATTTACAACTTTTGAACTTGCGGTTGCAATGACGAATTCAAGCAGTACGCGAGTGAACTTGGACAGCAGTTTAAATACTTCGAGAATTCGATCTTTTCCACCAGTTCAAAAACTAAACAAACGATTATGACTTCGTAGTGACAATTATCTGATAGGAAAAGCATTTTTATTGAGCGAAATTGAGCTGTAAACCTGTTGACAACACTTCCCGTACCTGCGCATTTCTTTACTTTGAAGCCTGGCTGGTACCAGTTGTCCAAATATGTAAAGTATTCATCAAAATGTTCGCATTTCGTCTGAAAGAAATCGTACAAGCAATGATGGAAGAGTAGGAAAAACATTTACTCACGTCATATACATATATTGTTGAAAAAAGACCAAAATCCCTCAGCTAAACTAGATTGCGTGACATCCTCTTTGACTAAACCTAGGAAAGGGGATGGGGGTGGGGGGTTTGGGCTTTGCTTGGGCTAGGGTCCAAAGCAGACAAAAACATTCCCTAGTAAATCCCATAATCGCTAAAAAAATAAAAAAAGGAGCTGTGTACACTTTTCGAAAACAAACAAAAAAACAAACAAAATCAATCTTGGGACAGGAGCCGATCTCTTGTTGGGAATTAGAAAAAAAAATGTGGAGTCTATGTCGGTCTGTCTTTACTTTTATTCTCTTTGATGAACAACGGCTGAAGCAAAGAAGGTGAAAGTTGAACGCATCGCTCTACAGCATATTCTTATCTTTAATCGGACGGCATACACTCCGTTGATTGAGCTCTCTTCATAAACTGTTCCATCTTGTTTACGAATGTAACGCAACTCTGACATAAAGACCTGTGATCTCGTATTGTCCTCAGAAATTTTTATGCCACAGGTTTTCTGGACTTTTGCGCACATATCTTTTGATGAACCAGCTTTGCTAAATATTCAAAACATATAACGACTCTCGTGAGAATCACTGCAGAACCTGCAAACCGGATTTCTTGGAGAAATCTTTGTCGGAGTTGGCATACTTTCCGCCATTTTGACTTCGGAATCATGCGTACATTATTTCAAATGCAAACTTTTACATAAGTTATCTAAATCAATCAACCAATCAAAATCCCGATGTGACTGGCCGATGAACGAGGTTGAGGCATAAGTTGATAAAAGTCGAAGGCCTGACTTCCCTCATTAAGCCGTATTTCTAAGCCAATTATAAGTTTTTTGCTTTCAAACGTTAAATCAAAGAATGTTGATGTTGGAATGTTCATTTAATTAGTTGGTATAGACCCTAACTGTTGCTACAACTGCATGCTACCAGACGTTCTCCGAGTAGGGACAAGCAGGGAGCTTTGCGTCGTCCTTTGATGTTCATCACCTCAACGTCAAAATGTTTGCAAATGGAACAAATGGAACACAGCATGGAAACACTTAGCTGTCGCAGTTTACCTGCCTTGTGCGTGTCACATAAGTGGAAAGTGTCCAAAACAATTAGGTGCCTTGGTTCCACCTCCTCTAGCATAACTGCGCGCCACCCTCAGCTATAGCTCAGGGAAAAGGCCCTGGGAACGAGGTTGATTTCACGCAACTACCGTTGATGTTTTCAGCTCTCAAAACTTGCCGTTTGAATTGCCCGAAAGTTTTATTTCATAAATTGAAATAAAAAGTATTGCTCTTTCTTTGGAATAGCATTTGCACAACGAAAGCCATGTACCAGGAAGGGTATTTTGCCATTGAAAAATGGCAAAATTGATGGTCGCGGTGAAAATGTTTTAGAGGGTGATTTTGAAAAAAAATTAAAAATTCAGATTGGAATCTTTTGAAATTACAACAACGTTTTCATACAAACAAAGGGTCATAAAATTATCTTATATCGTAATAGTCATGGCATTTGATCCGTTTCTTTTCACGACGCGAGGATGCAAAGCACATTTTTCGGTGATTTAAGGGCCTCTAGGAGGTGAAAATTCCAAAAACTTATCTTTTTTTGGAAAATATTAATCACAAGAAACTGAATCTTGTATTTTCTAAAGTAGTTTCATAAGGGCTTTAATGTGACAAAGTTTGGGAAATTTCGATTTTTCCATCTTGCACACCTATCCGTGGTATTTACAGAAAGTCACTCTTAAGTGAGTTTCAATAAGGCAATAAGGAACTTTTTCCGTGTTTACATGCTAGATAGGAAGATTGTTGGAGAGTTCGAGAGGATTATCATAGAAAGTTATCTTTCTCGTCGTCGATGTCCAAAAACAGCAAAAACAGATTTACTTGAGTGATAGTGAGTGCGAAAAGCAATATGGGTATCATATTGTGTGAATTTTCCTTACCCCCTCTACCCCTCGTGCTTTTATGAGAGTATGTAAACACGGACAAAGTTCTCTACTGCTTTTATAAAATGTTTCTCTCCAATAGCAGGACAAATGATATTAATTTACTTCTTGATTGCTACAGATTTTCGATACTAGCCAATCAAATCGTACATCTGAAAACACTTAAACGGATCAAAATTTGCATTGTTAAAACCAAAGTCAAGTTGAAGTTTGTGGCAAGCGCCATCACGGTGTGAATAAAACGATTTCAGCTTTGAATCCTCGTAAATTTGAAAGAAAAATTCCGTAACGTTTTGAGTGCACGATTCCTTAGGGAAAGAACTTGAGGAGGAGGAGTTTGATTAAGCTGAAAATGAGTGTCTCTGTGGTGGATCGCTTTTATAAATGACCGAAACTTACCCAATTTAGCAGCCCAAAAACATGGTTGAGAAGTTGAATCACTTATCGCGCTTTGTGAAATTTTGCTGGTTAATAAAGTTTTGCCGTCCCATTCTGAATGGAAAAAGTTAAAGATTATCTTTGCCAACTTGAGAGTAGTTTTTTACTGCGAGAACGTCTCTGAGAATTATACATTTTTAGAAAAATTTGAAAGGCAAACCACGACAACCGACCAGGCGAGCGATGTTTGTTTTGAGAGAATGCAGTCTGCAGCACATAGTCTGGTATGGTTCATTTTTCGTGAACATCTTTTTTAGTAAACAGGATGATGAGTGTCTTGTAGAGGATATCATCGCAGTACTCAAATGCGGAAATTTCTTTGGAAAATGTTTACCGCGCATTTTGTCGCATATTTTGTTATCTTTACTTGAGCTCCCTCCAAGAGGTCGTCTAGCCCATATTCATCGAGGCAGACATAACGCTGAAGTTTTTCTTTTTTTTCTTTTTTTTTTATTGGTCTCAGGGAGAAAGAAATACCTTACTTTGCGAGTATTGCAAAAGCTTTGACCCTGAAACGTTTTCAAATTGTGCAAACACCAAAAGTGTGAAGTTGCAACTGTGTTTACATATTTTCTGACCAGTTGGCCAATGAGAGCGCGCGCAGTATCTCAGAATCTCAGTTATTTTATAAAAGTCACTTTAAAGCTAGTTGTCACAATGCAGTAAAGAGAAGATGATTTTCTTTTCAGCTGTTTGATGGTAATCAAGACACCGACAGCATTGTATATCATAAATTGGCAAGGCAAATTACGGCACGTTACATCCGATTCATTCCGGTGGAATGGCGAAATCACATCTCTATGAGATTGGAAATCTATGGCTGTGAAGGTATCATATCAACCTTTTTCATATAAACTTACACTTTTCAATTGCTATTCACATCAGCTTTTATAGAATAATTCATGATATAAACGCAATGATATAACATTCTTGGTTAAAGATAATGGATGAAAACGTACCCCTAGTTGCATATTACATATAGTTTGAAATTAGAACAAATACTTTAATAAGCCACTGAACTAATGAAAGGCAGCTCTTAAAGACCACGCATCTATCTATCGGTTACTTCTGTCAAGTCCTTATTAAGGTGGCTTAGCACAGTAACCATAGGTTTTGAGTGTATGCCATTCATTAAGTGTCTTTATGGTGGAAGTGAAAGTGCTGATCTTCTAATCGCAAAGAATGCGAGTTTCGGCCCGTCTGTTGTCGTTCTACTTGTTCTCGGCTTCGTTTGGAAAATTTAAGCGCGTTGTCTGCAAAGTTCCCTTGTGGCTGCCTCCGCGGCTATTACTCGGCGTGAGAGATAAAATAGGTTGTTTTTTTTTGTTGTTGTTGTAGCGTTGGCGTTTGCTTGCTTTTCTCCTCTCTCTACATAGCAGGCGGTTGTTAAGAACAGCACTGACAGAAGGGTAATTAGTGGAACACTGAAAAATAAATGATTATTGCGGCTCTCCTCCTCGCAACAGTAGGTCACGCCATCGTTGCGACTCGACCTGACCGATTCCACGATTTTTTTTTTTTTGCATAATTAGACGTAGTTGGACGCGTTTTGATAAGAGTACCACGCTTCGATAGCGGACAAAACAGGTAGAAAAGGTTTTCGCTGCGATGTTTGTTTGTGTGATTTAAAACCGGCGTCGTCACGCGAACTGTCGTTGACCGCACGCAAACTGTGTTCAACCACCTTAAGCTCTTTCCCCATGAGCCCCTCCATCGAGTCAACTCCCAGTAAACTCTCATTTTATTCATAAGGTTAGAAAATAGAGGACTAAAATATCTAAGAAATCAAGTACAGCAAATCGAAGATTGATTAGCTCATCCCATCAAAGAGATACAGCAACCCATTCGTAGTTTCTTCTTCTTCTGCTTCTTTTCTCTCATTGTCCCTTAAAAAAAGAATGCTTTACACCTCTTGGTATGGAAGATGGAATGATCCCTGATATCCAGGTCAGTTCTTCTTCGCGACTGGATGACAATCATTCACCAAGTCAGGCCAGACTGAATTTTAAAGAAGAAAGAAATGTGGCAGGAGGATGGTCAGCTCAGTTAAACGATAAGAACCCATGGCTGCAGGTCGATCTTGGCAGTTATACTAGAGTGACGCGTGTGGCGACTCAAGGGATGAATGCCAACGATGAGTGGGTGACCAAATACAAGTTACAGTTCAGTGACGATGGAAAAAACTTCCAGTATTACAAGCAACAGGGTGACAAAAAATGGACGGTATGTCTAAGTTAGATTTCCTATCCGTGTGATAGACAAGAGCAACATCCAAAGCCGCTCTAGGCGACAACTCTTTCATTCCTTTTTTTTTTTTCAACAATTGAAATCATTTGGAAAAATACATAATGACATTTTTTACTTTCTTGAAATTAAAAGGTAAGGGCAGTGGCTGTCAGTTTGAAAGACCCTCCAAAAATTGAGTTAATCCATGATACTTATACAATTTACAGGTGCTGAATGGGAATAAAGGAAGTGATATCATTGTAGAAAATAATCTGAAACCTCCAGTTACAGCACGGTTTATACGGTTTATACCAACCGGTTGGCACAATAATATCTCCATGAGAACAGAGATCTATGGCTGTCCAGGTATAGCATTTAAAAATGGGGAGTTTAGAATTTAGTGGTCAAAAATGGAAGAAATTAATCAGCTGGATTGACTGCGAAGCGTAATAGGATTTTAACGACAGCTGTGAAATTTTAGAGACAGTCTTTCAGCCACAGACATTATCTTCCAAAATACGAACAAGTTAGAGGAGCCTTAGCGTCGCAGCATCATTTTTCGTGCATCATTAATTACGGACTTTTGAGAGAAGTAGAGGAAGGGTACGTTGAGATGAATGCGTGGGTCATAATCTTGGCATTTTATCAATGGGTGAGCGCATTAGTTTATCAAAGGCAGTTATTCTAAAAGAACGATAATTAGTGTGTCGTGTAAAGTCTGGATAGTATCTGACACATATCTCTTAACAACAAATGCAGCATGTATGACTGTTCTTGGAATGGAAAGTCAGGCAATAGAAGATGCTCAGATTAGTGCTTCTTCGCAACTGGATGGTAACCATTCTGCAATACAGGGAAGACTGCACCTTGAGAGAAATGGTCGAAAGCAGGGTGGCTGGTCGGCGCTTACAAATGATCGTAATCAGTGGTTACAAGTGGATCTGAATACTTTTGCACGGGTAACGGTAATAGCGACTCAGGGGAGACATGGATTCAAAGAATGGGTCACCAAATACAGTATGCAGTACAGCGATGATGGTGTGACCTTCACTCTCTACAAGGAATCTGACAGCAGCTCAGAAAAGGTGTGTTAACAGTTTGACAGGAAAAGTTTCACTTGTAGCTCTTCTTTATAGGGTCTGCTTCAAGAAATAAATCATTAAAAAGCAAATCGTTTAAAACAGATTCAAGGATCTCACCTTAGCTCATTAAAATACTAGGGAACTCTACCCTCATCTTATGAATTCTGCACCCCTGCTGTGTGCATTCAAGCGCCTTGAAAGGAGAAATAGATGAAACAATGCTTGAATCTTAGAATACTTCTTGAAAATCTGTCAGCTTTCTACTTAGGTGTTTGATGGAAATCAAGATTCAGATACTGTCGTGTACAACAAACTGACTTCACCAATAACAGCTCGGTACATACGGCTGATACCAACGACTTGGAACAACCACATCTCGATGAGGATGGAATTGTATGGCTGCCCAGGTAGTTTGAAATCCTTATGTTAGTGACTGACAAATTTTTCGAACTTAATTGGCCATCAGCAAACCGATTTTGAGCATTAAAAATGTAGGTCAGGCGTTATGCCGATGACTGGGCAGTGTAAAAGGGGCAGTTTAAGTGTCATGCCTGTGTTATGTCGTTCACACGTACTATTGTATCGACTCTTGGGCCACTATTTCGCCAAAAAAGCCGACTGTTATGTTTTCACTAGCAAATAGATTAAAACGATGGGTGTTTTGTTCCTAACTATTTTTCACAGTTCTGATGAATTGGTAATTTTCTGTCGCCCAAATCTGTGTTAATCATATTTGTGATTAAGTGATCTAGTTCAGACTCCCGCTTCGCAATCGTCCAAATTCCCTAAACCGCTTGTATCATTACAGAAAAAATTGAGGTGTAGTTGATCCTACTATCATTAGTCTGAGGAGGGTTCTCTGAAAACTTCGTTTTCGATTTTTTTATCTAGGATGCGTGTCACCGTATGGCATGGAAAATCGCAAAATTTCTGATTCCCAAATTAAGTCGTCTTCACAACTGGACGAAAATCATTCCGCAAAGCATTCTAGGTTGCATTTAAAGGCAAACAGAGGAAATGGAGGAAGCTGGTCAGCGCTTATAAATGACGTAAACCAATGGCTTCAGGTGGACCTCGGTAGTTACATCCGGGTGACGGGCATAGCTACTCAGGGAAGGAATGGGCACGATGAGTGGGTGACAAAGTTCAGGCTGCAGTACGGCGAAGATGAAGATGTCCTTCATTTCTTTGAGGATCCAGGCGATTTTGCCGCAAGGGTATGCATCATGAAGCGGTTTTCCCAGATTTCACTCATCCCTGTGATCAACGTCTTTTCCAGGCTATTTCAACATTCCATTGTTAACTTTGAAAGAATCCAGGGCAAAGACACAGTATTCTCAGCAAATTTTGTTTCCTTTTTAACTCTATTCGGGAATAAGAATCTCAGATCAATTCTTTTATGTCTAACTGGGAACACATAAAAGTTGACGCGCTCTTCAGCTCTTCCAGTTCATGAGATATGAAGGTTAGGTATCCCCCAAAAAAATTCGTGGTCATGTAGACCTACAAAAATCCACCAAGTGGTAGAATGCTCTTCTAAGAGTGTTGTTCATGTAAACTGAACTCGTGGGGGCTCCATGCAGTTCTTGGCTCATTTTTGGCATTTTTCTTCTTATGCGCTGAGAAAATTTAATGCCAAAGAAGACTTTGTTCTATAAGTCTTTTGTTTTTTTTTGTATCAAGGTTTTCAAAGGAAATACAGACAGCGACACTGTTGTGTACAACGCACTGACTCCACCAATCATAACGCGTTATATTCGATTTAAACCTGCTGAGTGGCACAGTCGAATATCAATGAGGATCGAAATCTATGGCTGTCCAGGTATCTAGAATAATCTCATTTTTGTTGTGGTGACGTATTAAATAGGGGGCTTGGCGTGGGGGACTCGTGGCTAGGTTGCTAGTTGGGCAGGCCAGTCGGGTGTTTTAGCCCCTTGAGTGCGACTGCGATTGCAGCCCCAGGTTCCCTTGGGCACCTGACCTCCATTTGCGGCTTGGGCGTTTAGTGTGATTACAGTACACTACAGTAACAGGCGGCCATTATCTATATGTATGAAACAATGGCATCTATTTTTAACTCTCAACCTTTATCTTTTGTCCAACTAATTGAGGTTGTACAAATCCTCTTGGAATGGTATCTGGATCAATATCTGATATTCAGATAACAGCATCATCTCAATTGGATGGCAATCACTCCGCATCACAGGCCAGGTTACATTTCCAAGCCGATGGTTACAAAGTTGGGGGTTGGTCAGCTCTCACAAATGACAGTAACCAATGGCTTCAAGTGGATTTTGGTAGGTACACAAAAGTGACGCGCTTGGCGACTCAGGGGATGGATGGCTACAATCAGTGGGTGACCAAATACATGTTACAATACAGTGATGATGGCATAAACTTCCACCTCCAGAAGGAAGCTACATCGAGTTCTCCAAAGGTACCAGATATCGTAAGCTTTTATTTTCACTGCTGATTTACAGACTTTTGCCAATAGATATCGTACGGATGACGCTCGCTGTTCCTTCATCAAAAAATGCAGTACCGAGAAATGTTTTGAAAAAAGAGAAATGTGTCCGAGTAAGGAAGATAACCCTCTATTCATCCATCCATTCCCCTTTCCCTCCCACCCATTCCTTCCTCAATCTATTCATTGCTCTTTCCCTCCCACCCCATCTATGTATTCCGCAGACTTGCTCAATCCCCCCATCTATCTATATATCCTTCCATACACTCGCCCAATCTATCCATCAATCTCTCCATCCGTTCACAGATACCTTTATCTTTCTCTCTCTCCATACACTAATTTCTTTATCCATCCTTCCTTGCTTCCTTCGCATCCATTTGCTGAATTTATCGATCCACTGTTTATCTGTCGGTTGATCTCACCATTCACGCATCAGAACTCATGTATTAATCTTCTCAATATCAGCCGGACTCCAAGTCAGATTGAGCGAACTAAGTAGTTTTAAAAATTTATCCCAGTTTTGTATTTCTGTGTCTATTGCCTAGGTGTTCGATGGAAATAAAGATCAAAAGACTGTTGTTTATAACGTATTGAGCCCACCAATAACCACGCGCTACATCCGACTTCAGCCGGTGGCCTGGAACGACCACATATCGATGAGAATGGAGATCTACGGCTGTCCAGGTACATCTCCCTCTTTAAATACCATCGTAGATTAATTATTCTATCATTAATTTTTCCAGAAAAAGTGTCTTAGAGGACAGATAACGACTTATTAGCCATCGTTGTAAAGTGTTTAGTCTTAATTGGTGCAAATTTCAGTAAAGAAAACAAATGTATCACGCTGCACTTAAACCTTAACTGTAAGAAGGGAAATACACCTTTCACTTTCTTGTCCTTTTTCATTACAAACAGGTTGTGCAGCACCACTTGGCATGGATAGCGGAGCAATCACCGATGCACAGATAAGTGCTTCTTCACAGTGGGATGATAACCATGCGGCCAGGCAAGGAAGGTTGCATTATAAGAGAGTTTTTGGCACCTCCGGTAGTTGGTCATCACGTAGAAATGATTTAAACCAATGGTTTCAAGTGGATCTTGGTCAATATACTACAATAAATGGTATAGCGACCCAAGGCAGAAATCATCCGTGGATAGACCAGTACGTGAAAGCATACAAGTTACAGTATAGTGACGATGGAGTATCTTTTTACTTTTACAAGGAGACGCCACTTGAAGCTGAGACGGTATACCTTTATAGTCACATTGATTCTATTTTTAAGACATCGTCAGTGATCAGAAATAAACATTAAATTTAGAAATTGTAAGGGAATAGACAAAGTAACGGAGAATGGGCTGTTCAAAGTTGGGTTAAGAGAAATTAACCCAGGCTTACTGCGAAATATGATTTGAGAAGTGAAAGCTTAAAAAGAAAATTCAGTCTAACTTTTTTGTCTATAATTTGGAAATTGGATGGTCAGAAAAGAATAGAGAAGACTATCCTCAAAAGGCCTTCGAACAAAGGAATAAAGAGACCCCTGATAAAGATTTAACCTTTGGTTATGGTTAATCGGCCTTCGAACAACTGGGTCTTGGAAGCTTTATTGTTTGGGAGGGGGGAGAGGCTGAGGTCTTTAGCAATGTACTAATGAAGAGCTCACTATCACCTATCTCAATAATTTTAAATAGGTCTTTCTTGGAAATAAAGACAGAGAGACTGTTGTCTATAACGAAATACGCCAGCCAATCAGAGCACGTTATATACGAATTAGACCAGTGGATTGGAACCAACACATATCCATAAGGGTTGAGATCTATGGCTGTCCAGGTAATTCCCATAATCCTTATTATGCAGCAGTTTAAAACTGTTGTATGCTATATACAGTAAGAATAGTATGACGGGGCGCATGAGCATAGCCCGTCAACTATAGTGAAATAAAAACCCCCGAAAAAAAATGATTATTATGACGCAGTTCATTGAACTTCAGCATGCCAGGAAAAGAAAGTTTCATAGGACGCACAGCGTAACCTAACAAACTACACATCGTTGGACCTATAAAAAATATATATATTTAAGATAATTATTGTATGGATTATTATTAATTATTATATGGATAATTATTTAAGATACAACTAATACTAATATACAATGTTAATATACTAATATACTAATACAATACTAATATACTAATGCTAATTTATAATGTTATGATCTTAAAAGTCCTCGCAATGTTCAACGTACTTGACACTACAGACTTAATTCTGCATGTTTCGTGGCACATCTTTTGTCTTTTTCCCCAAAAACTTCCGTAATCCCTCTTCCATAGTCCTTGACCAAACCCCCAAGCACACCCATGATACTATTGTACTGCTGGACTGTATGTCCGTGGTACCGTTCTTGTAACTCCCATCATAGTGGACCATACTTTACTGACTTTTCTTCATCTTTCTTTCCTCTGTTCTCAATCCATGGACAACTCATCTCCAAGACTACTACTTCCTTACCTTCATGGTTCACTATCTTTGCATCGATTCTGTTAGCTTGCAGTCCCTGGTTCTCCCCATAAGTTGGTATGTCCCACAATGCTTGGACATCCTCCGAGACGTATTCTGGTTTAGGCTTGATTGGCGAATACCATGCAGGAGGACTTTCGAACAGTTGTAGCCCTCTTATCATTATTATTATTATTATTATCATTATTATTATTATTATTATGTTTTTTTATCATCACAATGATCACTGTCACTATCATTATCACTATTGTCGTTGACATCATCATTACGAAGGACTGCTCGTAGTCTATTATTACCAGGTTATGCATTTGTTTACATTTATGTTTCAATTGTACAAACAGCATTGTAACTGCTAGTTAAGAAAGTGTGTTAAAAATTACCTGAACGGTGAAGGTGAACTCACAAAATTTGTATAAATGACCTGTTGTCATCGTAACATTTACAAAGATAAGTTTTAATTTGATGCGGCGATTAAGTTACCTTTAACAACTCACTTTGTTCGTAAACTAAACATTTTTAAAGTTTGCAAGTCCTGTTGTGCAATAGCTCGTTAGAAAATAACTACCCTCTAAAGGTATGGCCTCAACTTTGAATTTGATAGGTTAAGTGGGCAGTATAGCATGAAAGAGCACTTTGACAGCGATTCCAAATGATAACACTAAATTTTAAAGATTGCGATACTACTACCAAGCATTTTTCAACCTTTTTGTGCCTATAACTGTGATTTGTTTTCTTCGACTCACTCAGGCTGTGTTGCTCCCCTCGGCATGGAAAGTAAATCAATCTCTGATGCACAAATATCTGCCTCCTCACAACTGGATGATGATCATGCTCCAAAGCAGGCCAGGTTGCACATTCAAGCAGCCATTAATGGTAAAAGTGGGGGATGGTCTGCTCGCACGAACGATCTTTATCAATGGCTTCAGGTGGACCTTAGAAGTAAAACAATTGTGACACGTATAGCGACACAAGGGAGAGATGGACTGGATGAGTGGGTGACCAAATACAGAATACAATTTAGCTATTCTGGGATCAACTTCCAATTTTACAAGAAAGCAGAACATAGTTCTGCACAGGTATGCTCTCATCACTGTGCTCTAACTATGAAGTTATAATTAGGATAAACTGACACTATTTGATATTTACCTGACGCTGTTACGGTTTGATCAATCTGAGGCCTTTGTAAGTAAATGAGAAAAACTTTCAGCCCAGTTTTGCTAATTTTAATATCCAAAATGAATGTTTGAGGGAAGGTTGGGCGTCTTAATGGGTGGTTAGATGAGTGAGTGAGTTTGTAATCGGTGTAAGTTCTAAGGTCACTTTAAACTGACTCACTGAGAATACCAAAGCAAACCAAATGTTAACAATGTTTCTTTTTTAAACTTGCTTCTATAGGTTTTCGACGGAAATGAAGACAGTGCAACAGTTGTAGTTAACAAACTGACCGACGTAATCAGAGCGCGTTTCATCCGGCTATTGCCGATAGAATGGCACAAACACATATCAATGAGAATTGAGATTTATGGATGCCCAGGTATAATCAATTATTTCCAAAGACTCTTGGTTAAAAAGTGTCTTCTTCAATGACATAACTACGGACACTTTGCAAAGCAGGTTTAAATGAATCTTAGCAGTGGCTTGTGGTAAGGTTCTCTTGTTAGTTCAAGTACTCAATAATAAAGATGAATCAATACAAAATGTGTATGAGGTTAACTGCATGATTATTTTTTTGCCAAAGATAGCCATAACAATGTAGAGCTTGAAGATTTCTTTCATTACGATTTGTATCAGCGTTTTTTCTTGGTAGTTATGTAAAGTAGGTCTAACCATTCCCCTAAAGGAAAATGCACTTTTTTCATGATCATTATTTTGCATTTCTTAGACTGCATCGCGCCTCTTGGTATGGAAAGCGGAAATATCGCTGATTCTAAGATAATCGTATCCTCGATTTTGGATGATAATAGCCCACCAAGCCAGGCCAGGTTAAATTATAAAGTGGACGGTGGCTTTGGGGGAGGTTGGTCAGCTCACACAAATAATGCTAGCCAATTTCTTCAAGTGGACCTTGGTACTTACACACGTGTGACGCGTGTGGCCACTCAAGGAAGGAACGGATACGATCAGTGGGTGACCAAATATAAGGTGGAGTACGGTGAGGATGGCCAAAGCTTCCGGGTGTACAAACCATCAAATCTCAGCGTAGCCAAGGTATGTCAAATCATTTCTGAAACTTAAAAAGGTGATTTTTTTTTCTAATTGCTTATGTAGCTAAGACTTAGAAAAAGTGCACCCAAAGGGAATGAATATTCAGTGTACTTCTTGTCCCTAAGAGTGACACAAAAGTATAAGATAGCTCCAGCTCCACAGCTTCTTTTTTCATTCATGTCAAGTACATTTCTTTTCTCTGACACATTTGTTATGATAATTTTCCTTGTCATTATCTGAAGGTGTTTACTGGAAATCAAAATAGCGATGCAGTGGTTTACAACAGTCTGACGCCACCAATCACAACAAGGTTTATACGACTGATACCAGTGGAGTGGCACAATCATATCTCAATGAGGATTGAGGTCTATGGCTGTCCAGGTGCTTTAAAAGAACAATTACCACTGATAATTCTTTAAATAAAGTTACTTAATATCAAACGCTGTTTATTTCCAGATACGGACCCTTACGTGATGAAATATAATCATCGTGTTGTTTCACAAACTTAGCAAATGAAAAATCTTGTTCTTGGAAGTTTAATTAAATGTGTTGCACAGTGAAGGGATCCAAATAACTTACCACCTAAAACAATTTGTACTTTCAATCACAGGATGCGCTGCAGCACTTGGTATGGAGAATAAAGAAATACCTGATGCCAACATAAATGTATCTTCACAACTGGACGCGGACCATAGCGCAAAGGAGGCAAGGTTAAACTCGAAAGGGGGATGGTCAGCCTTGAACAATAACTTCAATCAGTGGCTTCAAGTAAATATCGGTTATAACTCCCAAGTGACAGGTGTTGCGACACAGGGGATGACTGGGAACGACCAGTGGGTGTCCAGATACCGCATACAATATAGCAGTGACGGAGTGACATTTGAATTTTACAATTCAACGGAAGACAGTTCAGCAAAGGTATGATTAGGATTAGGTAAGGCGTAATAGAAGAAAGAGGCTAGCTGTCTGACCCCATTTTAACGGGCTTTTTTTAAATATATTAGTTAGTTGTAGGCAGTTAAGTTCCCAAAAAAAAAACATCAGAACACTTTTATTGCAGTTACACAGCAAACTTAGAATTCCTGGCTTTACTGTCTCAACATTAGGTATTCTATGGAAATAAGAACGGTGACACGGTTGTATACAACATGTTGAGACCACCAATAACAGCACGTTACATTCGCCTGATTCCTGTTGAGTGGCACAACCATATATCGATGAGGGTGGAAATCTACGGTTGCTCAGGTACAGTAACTGCCTCGTATCGTTGAAGAAATGACGCTTTTTCTCATAGAGACATATTGAGTGCGTTACCTGCGAGGGTATACAATGGAAAACTAGTCGGCTAAAAAATATTAGGATGCTCATAAAAGTGATTAATTTAAAACCACAATTATGATTTCAGACTAAGGTATTTTATGCTAAGAATATGTGAGTAATCATATATTTGAACTGCGGTTACAGAGACGCATATGAGAACGATCTTCGCAGTGAGCAGCACTATTTAAAGTGCACCTAAACCCAAAAATTTTTTCCGCTTAACGAAATAAGCGTATTTTTTGGAGTATTTCTGTGGAAAATTTTTTTTATTTACTCAAATCTTCAATTTTCTGTGCCCAGTCAAAGTTCGGAAAATCGGCCGCCATCTTGGCCCACGACCGAGTTTAGAGAGGAATGGCTCTAGCGGGTAATGTGACGTCAAATCGAGAACACGAAAGTCTGCATTTCACACATTTTCACTTGTTTGGGAAGGTTGTAGTCGATATTGTCCGAAAATATGCCGACTAAGTGTGTTGTAGGAGGATGTAGCAATGTGCGAAATTTGCAAGAGGGTATCGCGCTTCATACATTCCTCATACAAAACACCTAGTTAGCATATTTCGGACAATATCGACGACAACCTTTCCAAACAAGTGAAAATGTGTGAAATGCAGACTTTCGTGTTCTCGATTTGACGTCACATTATCCGCTAGAACCATTCTTCTTTATACTCGGTCGTGAGCCAAGATTGCGGCCGATTTTCAGTATTTTGACTGGGCACAGAAAATTAAAGATTTGAGCAAATAAAAACATTTTTGCACAGAAATACTCCAAAAAATGCGCTTATTTCGTTAAGCGAAAAAAAAAATTTTGGGTTTAGGTGCAATAGTGAAATTAAATTAAGATCAAAAAAAAAAAAAAAAAAAAAAAAAAAAATTCAGGCCTGTACCGGATCTGAATTTTTTTTCAGATCTTAATTTCACTATTGCTTAAATAGTGCTGCTCACTGCGAAGATCGTTCTCATATGCGTTTAAGTTAATTTATATTACACTGTTACTCCGTTACATTTTTTTTAATTGCTTTCATTCTCCCACAAATTGATTAGCTACAGTGCACAAGCGTTGACAGGATGGTTTTTCTGTATTAGTTTTACATAGAACCATGGATAAATGGCACTGCTGAGAGCCAGTTAGATTGCAAGGATTTTAAAAACGAGCAGAATCATCTCATTTTTCCCTTCTAAAGCTCAGTTTGTTTTTGCTATGAGCACAGTTTGCAAATTAGCAACCATTTAACTTGGTCCTTTCGACATCATGTTGTTTGCACGAGTTCTTACGCATGTTTCAATTTTTTAATAAGAGAAAAACCTGAAATCTGAATTTGTAACTTTTTTCGGCCCCTTAGTGGTTAACGATTCGCCAGCACCAGAAATGACGACAGAAGCTAGCACCGTCAGAGGAGCAGAGAATAATGGAAAACGAAAAACAGAAGGTGCCACTAGAAGGAAAATGAGGCAGTATGGGTAGTAACCAGTGAGAGAAGAGTATTATGTACCACGTGATAAGTTTCAACCAGATATATGGCAATATGATTGATCGAAACTTATCACGTGCTACAAAATACTCTTCTCTCATTGGTTACTAACCGTACCACCGCATATTACCACTGCCACTGAAACTGTTGTCTAATCGTAGTTTATTTCGTCAGACTACGCGTGAAGAAAAAGTAAACCGTTGGGTATGGAGACCCGGCTTTTTTTTCCTTTTTCTCTAAAGTCATCATCCATCACCATTTTTCTATTATTCGCCTTCCTTTTATAGCTCATAGTTTCAAAATTTTGGTCAGAAGATAGTCATTCTCAAATAAAACCACATCCTACGGCAGACTTATCACTACCCGAGTTCGAGTAACGCCGCGATGGAGTGTGTATTTCCTGCACTCTTTAAGATGAGTCAAGGTGGGCAAAAAATTCAACTAGGGTCGTGAGGAGTGGTCTTTGTCATACCTCCCTATTCAAATTTTGTGACATGACGAAAAACCGTCTTTCTTTCTAGCTGTTTCTTTTTGATATATAAGGGAAACCAACTTCTTCTACTTGAAAGTTTAACTGGCAGATGCGTTTATCCTTTGATAGGTGTCAATATACCTGCTGTGCTGTTACCCGTGGTCTTAAGCATTCTAATCGCTGCCTTGGGATTATTTTATTGGAAAAGGTGAGAACAAGCACTTAACGAGAGAACTCGTTATATCTAGCGACTGTAAAAATTTTCATATCATGGAACTAAGGAATGAATATGTTTATGTCATTAACAAGAATTCGCGATGCTCACATGATATTAACATTATGCAAAGACTAGAACCTTCTTTATGAGTTTCTTTCCTTTTATATGACTTTATAAACCTGCTTTTTAATAGGAGAGCTCAAAAGCATGTGCACATCAAATCAATCTCATTTCAGACGTGAGTACAAATGACATTTATTTTGTTTGTTTAAAATGACAGTAGTGAACAAGATCCTTCTTAGTATTCTGACTGACTCACCGACCATTTATTTTAATTCCAATAGGTTGTAATCTAAATCTTTGTAGGACTTTGGTCTCCGCAACCATATACTGATCAACTCATCTAATGCCCAGATTTCTACTTGCATATTATCCAATTGTCATTTCCTTCATTTGGTGTCTCTACTTACGATATTTTTAGTCATAATTTTTTTCCTAAAACGAACACTTTACCTTCTGTCAGTTGTAAACCTGCTTTTAAGAGTCGTTATCGCAGTTTTCACGTCTTCGTCGTTTATTGTTTGCAGAGGAACCAATGAATTGAACTATGCAGTGAACAGAATATACGATGAAGGGTAAATATCTAACTCGAGACTCTAAGAACGCAGCATTCTGGTATGAATGTTTACGCTTTTCTCAAGTGGTTTGATATATAAAACGTACAATACGTCCATCGAACCCAGGATCACGCGACGCATTACTCTTCTTCATTAATAGAGAACATTTTAAGAAGAAACGTTTATGAGAAGCGAAAGACAATCGGTAGAAGAATGAATCTAAATCTGGCAAGTACTTGGAATGATAAAATGTTATCTTCCAGCCACCTTCCGCGCCTCAAAACCGTTTTTGCTTAAGCTTTTTATTAAAAACAACCTCTCTGTGTTTTCTCTAATGTTTTTACTATCTTGAAAACTAATGTTATTTTAAAACAATACTGAATAGTTGACGACTGTTTACCGACACTCAAAGGGAAATTGCTCAGGCTATTGCTTGGAAAACTTAAGAATCTCAGAACTACATTTGTGAAGACATATTTAGCCTTAATCATTTACGATGCTATTATTTTTTTCGTTTCTGATAGGGCCGATGAGGTGGTGTATCATGATTTTGAAGATTGAAGACTCCAGCCCCGAGGATATGTTTTAGCCTCTTATACTGTTTTAAAATAAACTAAAGAAAAAAGAAGAAAGGATAATCAAATGTAAACATCCTCTTGGGATTTGAACTATTTTCCCTATGAATAGTCAAAGTTGAGAACATCACGCAGACGTAACATATACCGTTTTTCTTATCAGCAAGGGGATGATAAGTAAGTTAACCAATTTTTCATTGTGTGAATGCGAAGGGACGGTCTATTTGAGTTAGTTGCTGTCTAAACGATGTAAGTTTAGAACGGTTGATGATTACTGGCTCACAGACCGTTTCTCGCTTACATTGAGTGTCGTAAAAACACAGAACCAAAGTTATCAGAACAGCAAATCGGAGGATAGAATAAATAGCCTTAAGAAACAATGAGAACTCAGAGAAAAACCAACCTCACCGCCCAAGGCGCGGGAAAACGCGCCTTGGGCGCGTCGAGATTAGCTTTAGTTTTGCATTTGATTGGCTGGGAGAGTAGCGCGAGGTTTTTGGACTAATCACAGAACGGAACAAAGCAAAACCAATGGAATCCTAGATTACTTTTGACGCTTTATTGTAAACTGCTCTAATCTGAAAACCACACCAGCAACAATTCGTTGTCCAACTGAAAACTATGGCTCGCAAACTTTAGGTAAATTGAACGCGCATTTTAGATAACTGGATGAATATCAAAATATGATTGATTTTATTAAATTTTTTACTCTAAACGTCAGTCACCTCTACTGACAAGAGTACTTCTAGGAATTACCCTCACCCGGACATTCAGACCGTTACCCTGGTTCAAACCATTTACTGTATTATGGTTCAAGTCCCATCTGGGGCTCGGATTTTTCTATTTCATTAAAATTGTTTCATCTGTACATGCTCCCTTTGGAGTTTGGTTGGCCGCATCTTGATATGCTTTAATGTGACAGCGTGAGACTGTTAGTGAGTTTCGCAGGCGCTGACTAATACTCGGCTGTGTAGCCGCGCGATGCGGTTCCAGTCGAGGCCTACAAATTGACCCTTGCTCACCATAGAGTCTCCAGTAGCTCAGTGGTTAGAGCATCCGACTAGATCACGGAGGGTCGTGGGTTCAAGTCCCATCTGGGGCTCGGATTTTTCTATTGCATTAAAATTGTTTCATCTGTACATGCTCACTATCGCTCTTTTGGTGTGTCATTCTATCTTGTAAGTGAACTCGTTGCCTTCCGCATATCTCGAAAAGTGAACCAAGGTTTCTTAACAACTTAAATTAGGCATTTTCTTTTCGTTGTATGCTTTGTTTTAAGATTCGCTTCTGTTTGACATTTATAGATCAAAGCTCTACGTTGAAAATCCCAGCGCAGCTGGTGTCTTTTGTTTTTATCAGTCAACGATATTGCAATACACGTTACTACTTTTTACAAATCCCATAAAAGGGATTTCTCTATTGTTCTCCATTTGAAAGCTGCCAAAGTTTCCCGCTAGCTTCTCTTTTCGTTTCACCTGAACTGTATATCTTGTGACATATGTAAGATCATGATATCATACATACATACCAACGTAACTGATCGAAGATCATGAAATTTGCCACTTTTTCCAGGGAGAGGGTGATAAACATGCAAAAACTGCGAGAGTGTATATATCATGAGAGGTCTATAGGTCGCATAACGAAAACGATGACGAAATAATTAGCGGGAAAGATTACTGAAAAAGAAGACATCATCTCAAAATAAAAATCCAACAGCTGGATAATCAAATTGAAGTTTCCTTATTGATTTTGGTCATAACTCATAAATGATTTTTCCTCTCAATATAGGTTCGTTTTAAGATGATAACGAAACGCAAAGCAATCCTAAATGTGGATTAGATGCTTATCAGCATCCAACGTAACAAACACTGGCCCGTACTTTCAGTATGTGTTCCGCTTGCGTCATACGCCGTCTATTTTTATGACACAGATATCTCGATGGTACACAAGAACTTCCCCTGTATAGAAAACATGATATCTTTATTGTATACCGTGCTGATAATGCCTTTCACTTAATCGCTCCGTCTACACCTAACAGAAAGTATTAACACTCGAAGATAAAATCTGTATGCAAGTGTAGCATACAAACATGTAACATCCCTGTATCTGATCTTCGCCGTGTTTCGTACGATGTATAGCCCTCGAACTTCCTTTCACAGGTTTGATCTTCGCATAGAGCGGGCGATTTTGAGAGAAACCGAAGATGGAATACTTTCCTCCGGGTAAATGATAACAATAATGCTCGGATTTAGGGTTAAACTTTGACCTAAATTCCACCATGGGGGCTCTCTATTTGTGAATTAAGCCTCTCGATTGTAAATAATCTTTTGTATTAAATAACACGACATGCCTTTTGTAGATAGATGATACTCTTTTCCGCTTTTTCATACAGTCTATTTAGAACTCAGAAATTTGTCTTGTGCAAAAAATGTCCCTAAAGCAGGATGAATTGTTAAATGTACAATGCATGATACGACTTAGTTTTATTCTTAAGTTGATAATATTCTTTGTAAATAATGTTCTTCCATTTTATTTCTCCCCACATTAGTATGGGATATCTCCCAAACTAGAAGGTTCTTTGACACGTTAATAAAGTTTCTATCTATCTGTCTATCTATCTATCTATCTATCTGCCTGTCTATTTTTATGACATAAATACCAGAACACCAGGAACATCAGAAATTCTCCTATCGTATTGAGACCATAATATCTTTACCGCATATAGTGTCGATTACATCTCCGGCACACTAATCCACTCAGCCTACTCGTGAGATGATATCAACACTAGAAGATGAAATTTGCGTCAAAGCGCCGTCGTGGTGCAGGAGTCACGTTCTGCTCTCGGGTGATGACAACCTAATTCTATAAAAGATGAAGGGATATGGGCACAAACATACAAATGTGTAGTAACATCTTCAATGAAGAGCTGAGGATGTTGCTTTGGAAAGCTTTAAGTTTGATTACTCTGCTAAACAGTTTTTTATCGGCAGGTAAGGTTGTATTTAGCAGCATCAATTTGTTGTGGACTGTTAATCGAATACCCTTCCAACACAATAGTATTATTCTTGCGACTAATTCTTCAGCTGACAACCTTTCCACTAAAAATTTGTCTCCTCATCTCGGGATTCAGAAAAATGAAATGTATAATATCTAAAGCTCTTCCGGGCACTTCTGTAACTTTCTTATTGTAAAAGGGATTCAAGTCATGCTCTTTATTACACTTTTGACACGCGAGCCACTCCTCTGTGTAATTTCAGTGACATTTAAAATTTAAAACCCTCCGCGCTGCTGTCATTCGAGCATTTCTTTTTTTACTCGGGCTTTCAGAAGGAAACGCTTGAGGTATAAATTCGGCTTAATTTAATTTTTTTTTGCGTTCAGTCACAAAACGCAGTTCCATTACAGCGCATACGTGAAGTGTACATGCATGCGTAGAATGAACCCTAGAGCGCATGGTTTAAAGCAATGGCTACCTTCGTGGACAATTCCTCGCTTGATGTACGCGAAAGAAACTCGATGGCTATTACGCTCAATATAAATACAGAGTCACACACCGTTCGCAGTAGACCCACGCTAAAACTTGTGGAGCGTTTTGAGAACGGGTCGGTCCGCGGACTTTACGAGAGATCAATTTACGAGCGATCTTTTACAAGTGAACCTTCTATCGAGAAATATCAAGCGAAACCTGTTATATCAAACGAGCTATCTCATATTATGTTTACATGTAAACAGAACCGTGTATTTAGTCGTGACCGAGAACCCAGTAGAATGCCAGAAGCTACTCTGAAACGTCTCAGAAGAAAGGGAAGGAAACTGAAGGAATTTGTTTATGAGCGTATTCGTCCAAGCATACCGAAGTCCTCTTGGCTACGTCGTTATGTGTGGGTTAGAAGAGTGACAAAGAATGATTGTAAGCTTAATACCAAGAGGGTAAGATTAAATAAAGTTACCCATTCTCAAGGTACATGTGTGCTGCTTGAAGTATCATCACTGAATAGCTTAGCACGTTATTTTCAGAGTATACATGACACTTTATTCCCCCAAGACATTGCAATTGAAAAGAGACTGAGCAATGGAATGAACTTAATTAAAATGACTATTCGGTTTGGTTGCAGCTTCTGTTAAAGCTTCTCCTATAGATGTATACATTAAAAGCGAAGGGTGTGACGATCCAGGAAAGACACCGAACACATGTGGAATTGCTTATATCAAGGTGAACGGCAAGGATTACTCCCGTCACGGCAGAGGGCATAACGTTGTTGTTGTGGACGGTGCAACAGGTATGTGGACCTCTGTAATTATGGTACTTCTGACATTTATTTATGATTAGGGAAATCTCGACAGGGGGAACATGGGAAAAGCTCCTTGGCTTAGGAAGAATCTAAATGGCGTCTGGGAGCTTGCCAGATTTGTTTTTATTTTTTAATAGAGTTGTGAGCCAAGAATGGAATATTGTCGAATAATCCCCAAGAAAAATTGAGTGCATTTTTCATGTGTACACCTAGTTATTTATTGAGCTTAAGACGAATGGTGTTTCAGTGTAATATAAGAAATGAACATTAAAGAAATAGGCAGTCATCATCTCTCATTTTTGGTTAACCGAAATATTTCTATCTCAGCTTGGAATGTTGTATTGCAATATGCATTGCTGGTTCCGATTGGTTTACTCGATCTGTATAAATCTTCGCTTAACTTCGAGCATTCTGCGCGATGTAAGACTTTTGCACTTTCTTGATACGATACAAAGGAGGATTCCCTTTTTTTTTATCGTGTATAATTCCCAGTTCTTAAACCAGCCATCTTTATTTCTCTCAGGTGTCATTCTTGCTTCAAAAGTATTCGACACCCATGGGAAAAGATATGCAGGTGATAACCTAAGGGATTACCTCAACAGCATTAAAGGAAAGTAAGTAATTTTATTTCAGGTTAATAGTGTAGTTCTGTCATTCTAGTCTTAGAAAATCACACCTTTAAAATAATGCCTAACTCTTTTTAGCTCAGGTATTATATACAGTTTTAAAATCATGTTTCCTGAACAGAAGACTCACCAGTGTACAGTTTCTGGACTGAGTTAAAGCCACTTTAAAACGCGCCATTTCGCTTTAGTGTGAATGGGACGTCTTATTTTCACCCCTGAGCAAGGTTTGTGTGACAAGCTTTGTTAATTTGAGAGTATGACCTGGTTCACCATGTCGCTTCATTTTGCGACTGAAACTCCAGGTTTTGATATGTTAACTTCTTACCAAAACACTTATGACGAGCTTGGCTCGTGTTAGAAGTCGACCACCAAAAGCCGCCCTTTTAATTTTGTCTCGTGGATTTAATATTTTGATGTTTTTCCTTACTTTAGCAAAATTTTTTTGGTCGCCGTTCAAGACGAAGGCTACAAATATTCTTCATCGGCGATTAATGCTCTCAAGAGGCTGGGGGCTAGTGGTTCTGTTCGAGGAAGCCATCGGTCTTCTTTTGCTTTTGTTGGTTACGCGGGCACAGGACAACAAGCTTGGGTAAAACAGAAGCAGAACGAGAGATATCGAGGGCCTAGTGAAATAACTCAGAACATTCCCCTTTC